GGATGTCACAACCTTTTGACAGGATGTACCTGACAGATGGCTTGTGCTGATATCTACCTAAACAGGAAGTTGCGGTCACCAGAATATTCTTGAAGGTATCTGATGAAATCTAGGGTTACTATAAGTCAAAGGTTGTGGGTGAAAGGAGGGTGAAAGGAGGGTTAGGGTTACTTACGGTCAATCAAAAGAGAACGGAAGTCACCGGAAGTTGACCATATATGGACATGACGGATGCCCCCCCCCCCCGAAAAGGGGGCGTGTCACCTGTCACTTGATTGATGCCTACGTATATATTCTCTAACACCACAGAAATCAAGATACCTCTCCTGTCTTGAAGTAAAAAAAATCTTTATTTTTCTTCTAATATAAAAACAGATAAAGAAAGTTAATTCAGAACCACTGCTGTGCATTAAGTTGAACATTTCAACATTTCAAATATTCTTTACATAATTTGTGTCACAATTGTCTCCCATGAAAATGATCTTTAAAATCCTCATTTTATTTTACTTTTTAATTTTACATTCGAAAATTCATCTGTGTGCAAAATAAAAATAAAAAAAAAGGAAAGGAAAATAAGAAAATTTGCCTCTCACCACTTCCAATCTGGCTGGCTCATTATGTTGTTTTTGTCATTATAATCTCCATCTAGTGAGCGTTAGAGAAAAGCCACTCTGTGTGGTTAGAAGAGCACGGAGAAGCACAGTAATAACCTTAAACAATTACAGCTCGCTGTTTGTTTCTTAGCGTGACATAATTAAGYCATTGTGCTGCCTACTGACTGGGCCAAAAAGCCTCTCTTTATTCAGAGAGTAATTGTGATTAACGAAGCGCTGCTGATTTACGTAAAGGTCGGAAATTCGCTCCGAGAGAACGAGCCACTCGTCCCCTCTGATTGTGCACTTTGCCCTCGCCCCTCGAACCCGGCCACGCGCTACACCCGCACCGCTGCCGTCCCCGTGGGCTCGGAGGGGAGGGTAAGTTGTGCTGATAAACGCGGTGCCCTGGATATGAGTGGCGAAGGAGGGAGAGACGGGGGGTATTCAGAGAAGGCGAGAGGGAGGAGAGGTATGTGTATGTATGTGTGTGTGTGTGTGTGTGTGTGTGGCGTGTTTGTTCGTGCCTTCCTGCGGATGTGCCTGTGCCACCCAAGTGCCAGCCAGATCCACCATCTGCTCATTCCAAGACACAGGCGCTCTGTGTGAGACAAACAAACAGCAACGCTCTCTTCTCTTCATTCAGAACCTCCCAGCCTCCCTCTCAGGCAAATCAGACAGTTAACCAACAGAACTGAGGGAAACAGGAGAAAAGTGGTCAAAATGAAGGATTACAGTGGGGTGTAGGGTCACAGAGAGGTTGGAATAATCAGACACTAATGTTGTTGATAGTTGGAAAAAGGAACATTTTACACATCTGACTCTTGGGAAGTTTAAAATGTCGCAGCAAGCTATAGTTTCTCGTTTCTGTTACCTTTGCCTTTATCTTTTGGTTTTACTAATTTCCTGGTTTATTGTTTATGTTGTTAAAGATTTTCAGTCATCAAGGACATGGCAAATCCTGTTTTTTTTTTTTAAATTTAAAGAGAACTTGACATTTTCATCTTTTTTTGGAAAATATCTCTCTTCTCGTCCTTGAAACTCKCTAAATTTCTCATCTTCAAAAAGTGAGAAACTCAGAGGAGTCACATAACATCTCAAGAAAAAGTGCATTAAAACTCAGAATATTGTCCAGTGCCTTTCTTTTATTTGTGCATTGAACTTCAGCTCACACCTAGTTTGTATTGACAATCCTCACACAGCCCACATTTATCCTCTGTTTCTCAGTAAATCTAGTTTACAGTTAACAGTAACTCTCTGTGAAATCCTCTGTTGTCTTGTTGCTGCAACCAATTAAACATAAGAGTTTAAAATGCTGCACACGTGCATTTTTTGTCCCAAATTCATATTTGTTCTGCATTTTAGGGAGATCAAACAGTAGATCTGATATCTGCGACTTGCTCCTTTATTTCTTGTAATTAATTTCCTCGTGGCCTGACTGGTGGCTGTGGGCCAGATTCCCTGGCTGAGATGGAGGGAGCACAGATGGGCCCAGACAATTCATGCAGGTGAGGGTCCGTGAGGGGGGCTGCTGAAACGAGATGAGAACAGAGGGAGAGGTCGTGACTGTGACAGCCAGAACGACAGAGACAAAGATCAGTGGAAGCAGGCAAASGCAGCGGCAGTAACTCCGATCACACGAGCATAAAACAGAAAACTGAGCGCAGATATCATATCCTCGCCTCCCGGGGAATTATGAGACGAGCTGGCAACACCTGTGAGCTCATGYCCCTGTGATGGATGTGCGACCTGTCTATGGTGTACCCTAGTGCTATACAAATACAATTTACTTACTTACCGTCCTCTCACACTGAGTGCTGGAGATGAGCACCAGCTTCCTGTGACCCAGAAAGGACAAGCGATGAGGAACATGGATGGATGTAGCTCATGTTCTGGTTTGATACAGAGCAAATCATAAAGAGTTTTAGAACTTTGGCGCTCTCAAAAAATTATTTGCTTTCACCGACCGACACAAACATGTGCATGTGAGAGCTTATCTGTAAAATATCTTATACACTAGAGAATAGATTTAATAAAACTCTTTGAAATAAATTATTGGACATACAGTATATACTTGATTAACTTTTGCTGTCATCCTGATCCAATATGTCTGCCACAGCCAGACAATCTTTACCAATAGAAAAGGACTATGATTCAGTCCTTTTTACAAACACTGAGGGATAGTTTGGTGTGGTAGTARTCGAGAGTCATCCTCCATAAATACTTTGAGTGCTAACAGATCCTGCAAGATCTTTGTTCAAAACTTCAGCATGCAAGACACCAGGAAATTAAGAAATACTACTTTTAAATTTGAATGATGTCTTTTTAATATTGTTTAATTGACCTAACCATACGAGTGAGCCAATCTGAATGCTTTACGATCCCCACATTTGTTTTTCAGGCTTTTTACTGACAGATTATTGCTTTGAGAGTTAATGTGCAGCTCAAAAACTATAAATACAATTTATTCCTTCCCAGCCTAACCTTTTGTTCCTTTTCTGCTTCAATAAGGTTTGATGTCTGTGTGCAGTTTCTTCTCTACATTGCGTAATAAGCCCAGTCCTGTGCAGAGAAATTAAATTCCTTCAGAGACTCATAAATGTGGAGCTCTTTGTGTGGAGCTAAACTGCAAACATGCAAATCATTTCTGCTTTAAGTTACCGGAGCACTTCATTGACTTGGAATTGTAATCTGCTGATCATAAACTAGCCTCTGGACTTTATATAKCTAACGTCAGTGTTAACATAAGCCACGTTTATTAGAGACTCGTTTGTTCAAGATGACTCAACAGACTGATTTAATTGATCAAATCCACCTACGCCTTTGTTTGCAGCAGCTTGAGATTTAATCAGYTTGTTCATGTAAATAACAAGGCAGGGCCACTCTTGCTCTGTGGTACGATGATGCTTCTGCTGCCTGGGCTATAAATAACTCCTGCCAACAACTGCCTTTTGTGAGGCTGTAGTTTGACAGCTGTGAGGCTGCAGAGACGATTCCACCACATTCGGATCAGCGAGTTGAGCTTCAATAAGTTGGGGTGACAAGTTCCAATCAAATCAAATGGACCTTTTTATTTACATCCGAGGCAAGAAGAAATGTTGTGAAGAGAGAGGTCACGTGTTGCATCTCGCCGAAACAGAAAAATGTTCAAGTAATTTAGTTTTCTTGTCATGTGAATGAAAACATAGGACGAAACCAAACAAAGATGTTCCTGTGCAGTAGTGTTACTGAACAGTTTGTAGACTTATTGTCTGGAAAAGTAACTTTTGGCACGAGATCCATGAGACCCAAACATGACATCAGTGTTGAGTAAAATACCTCAAATTGATTCTTGAGTAAAAGTACAAGTATCTTACCATAAATTTACTTTGGTAAAATTTCAAGTCTCCTCTAAGAATATTACTTGAATATAAGTCTTAAAGTATCTAATAAATTTTGTACTTAAGTATCAAAAGTTAATTTCTGACATAAAATGTACTTAAGTATTAAAAGTAAAAGTATTGAGTAAAAATGAGAGACTACTTCCCAAAATGACATTTATTAGGAGGTGAGACCCTCAAACGTTTTTCTAAAGGCCAAAATGGCTATATTGTCATAAAAATTAATGTTAAAAAATTTAGGATGCACTAGTCTACCTGTTTC